GTCCTATAGTTCGCGTCGCCACGTATAGTGCAGTATAAATACACACACACACACGCACATATATATATATATATATATATCTCCACTAACTCGGAAAATACGAGGGATATCTGTACGTATCGATACACAGTGCAACGGGGATTTTTTAAATCGACAGACAGCAAGGATCGTGAATTTCACCGATCGACTTGCAAAAGAAAACCTAGCAGACTAATTAACGATCACAAGGTGTCCTGTGGTAAATTCGATCACTCAGTTACACCGGATAATACGCATTAAAGTGCTTACATAATAAAGTACTTTATACAATGGCATAGTACAACTTTAACAATGAAATAAATATACACATGCATACGTTGAGAAAAAGCATACTGAATTTTAACGAAATATTCAATCGAGTAGTGCCAACTTAACGTTTACTCACGGCAAATACTTACTAAATAATAATAATAAATAATAGTTAAATCACACGAATCAATAGTTTACGTGTCGAATGATCGAATAATGCAAATGATGAAATTCTTGACAAAAACAAACTACTAAATGCTAATTTCCAACGTGTGCCGTCGATTGTTCGACAATAACGGCGAAGTGGCAGGAGCGTGAACTTTATACAGGGTCAAGATGAAGGTCACGAGAAAAGGAAACGACATCCTTCTTGGGCTCATTACGGTATGCAGATTAACGTCGTTGGAATCGATAACCCTTCCGATCATACGTGCATATCTCAGCGATCGTTCCGATAGGAAATGAACAATGTCAGCGGAAAAGATGTCAATGGGAAGAAGAAGAAGAAGACCGAGAAGGCACAACACATTCGGGCGTGCAACGATTATCATTTAAATGAGCAGTGCGCTTGCTCTTCGGCGCCCCGAAACACGCCTCGGAATCGGGTAATTTGAATATTTCGCCGATTAAGCTGTGGACGTTATTTTACATAGGTGAGGATACGGGGTTATTAACCGCATGCGATCGACCCGCTTTATTTCGACAGTAAATCATCCATGCTGATCTGCATTCGTCGTAATGCCACCGAAATAATATCGATCCAACTACAACGAATATATCGTCGGATCGAATATAAGAATTAATTTAATGTAAGAATCGCACAACGATGCGATAACGGTGCGATAACGTCACGAAGAAATCGCTTCGGAATTCTCAAGATAGAAATGCAGAAATTGGACGATATACGAGGAGGACTTGAACGAGGAGTTACTTGATTAACGGAATTAGCAACTCCCGCTAACACGTCGATCGATCTCCACTCCTCGTCGTAAAATCGCACGGTTCGTCGAGAAGGTGCGACGACGAGTGGACGTTGCACCCTCGCGAGCTACGCCATTGGTAGCGTTTTCATCTGCGTGAAATTCCCGGCATAGCTCGCGATACGAAGAAGATTCCGCGAAATCCATTCCACGCGTTATTCTTCTCGCCAAGGAAGGAGAACTGACACGGGTTGAACCTCTTAACCGAGAGGTTCAACTTATTCGTTAACCCTTTCCAATTCTGGAATTGGATTAACCATGAGTTGTGAAACTGGGCCCCCCCCCCTCCCACCCCTTTAATCGGGTAACGAACGCATCAAAATGCGCCACTGATTACGTGTGGGTTATAACAAGCTCCGGTAATAAATTCTTATTGAGCATTCGCGCGTTTGTTTGCAACGTTACCATTCTCGATTCCCGTAATTAGCGGTAAATTAATATTCGCTGTGAGCGCGTATGGACGCGGTAGAATGTTTCGAAAACCCGCTTAACGCTCATAAACATACACGCACCCTTTCGCCAAACGGGGGTGGAAGAGGGGGAGGTGGAGAGAGAGAGAGAGAGAGAGGGGGGAGGCTACGCTTCGCAAATCGTATCGATCGCGTCGTATTTACCGAATGAGTTTTACAAATTACATCCGTGGCACGTTTGATTCGCACGTCGCATTTCGATACGTCGATTTACCCCGCCCACCTATCGATGATACTCGCGTCGCTTTTTCATCCTATTCGGTTAAAATTTGTACATTTGCATATCCGACGTGGTGCATAAATAAAGAATTATTTTATCAGTCGTTAAGCGAGCGATATTGCGCTTTTTTTTTTTTTATGCAGCAACGGCGAGTGAACAGCATAGAGTAGCTTTCGTATTCTCGATCGAATCCTACAGCTGAACATTCATTCAGGCCTTCGGTGCGATTTTATTTCATCCCTCCGATCCTTTCGTATGTACACGTTCGGAGGAGAAATTTGTCAACGCGATTGGAACTTCAAAGCCCGTACCTGACGTCGACTCGCGCAACAATTCCGAAGTGATAAGCGAGCGGCACGGTCCGTCCAGATGGGGCACTTCCGGTCCTGATAACGTCACCGATTCCGGAGAGCCCGAAAGAGGTCGCGAAAAGAACGTGGGAGTCGTGTCAGGGTATGTAAATCGATCGCGCGACATCGTGGTTCCTTGGAAGCAAAACTCGGTTTCCGGACTAAACGACGACACGTTGACATGTAGTGAAAATAAGAGCGGAGAGGAGCGCGGAAAGATCGACGGTGGGAGAGCGTGGAAAAGAATGCTTGATTTGAATCTCGCTTACGTCGCTATTCCCGATTACAGCTCGATATTCAAAAGTGATTTTGTCGAACGCGGGGAGATTTCAACATCAATGTCCGTTTATTTCTCCTTCCTTTTTGCGAAATTAAAATATCTCGATCCGCTCGAGACGAAACCGATCGGTCCGCAATTTGACAGCTGCGTGGAGTTTCATGGTTTCGAGGCACTCCGAGAATGATTAATTATAACCGCGCGCTAATCCCCATTAACGTATCGTGCAGTGATTCTCTACCAATCGTGGGAATTCTGTATCACGACGAGGTAATGTCAGCGACGTCGATTACGCCGCCGACTCGCACGAGCGAGGGATATCGATTCGAGTGGGATCGCAAAATCGTAGCCACGCAGGTAATGAAAAATCCAGCAACGAAATTGAGCAGCGGAAAGGCAGAAGATCGTCTACAGACGAGAGGGAGAGAATAATGGACCTGGCAAAGATGAGGAGGAGGAGGAGGCGTCATTTGCCTCCTCGCGACCCATTGAGATGCAAATACGCGCCGCCTAACGTGATTTACGAGGAAGGAGCAAGCAACCAGAAGCGTTTCCGAGTCCCAGATCCGTCCGAGCGGATAAAATCTGTCCGAGCACAGCCGCCACAATGGACCCAGAGATTTTATAGCGGCAGGTGTTCGCGCGCGCGGCGTCGTAGAACCATCGTTTCCTCTCGGTCAGCAAGTTTCCTCCGGGATTGACATAAAAGGGTCGCGGCTGATCCTGCGGGTTTCCGCGACCCGATGGAGATTCGTGAACTCCGCGGTTCGCTCGGAACGCTTTTGCAGAGTCTGCGAGATTAAACATCATTACGTTTGAATTGGTAGTAAAGATAAATTTCGAATAAATTAAATTAACTTATTGTTAGCTGCAATCAATTCTAGTTGATGAATAACGTAAGAGAGCGAGAGAGAGGGAGAGAGAGAGAGAGAGAGAAATCGAGCTGGATTATCACGTCAGTTTCCCTAACGATTGGCTCCCATTGTTTACAGGGAAATATATTCGCGTGGGATATCTTCGTTGACAGTTTTATTCAGAGAGAGAGAGAGAGAGAGAGCGCTCCATCGACAATGTTACGAATTGAATCGAGACCCTTATGTAATTCAGCGCAGCAACGAGCATATCGACGAGCGCAGCGATCCTTTTCATTCGCCCAGGTGAAATCCTTTGTACGAACGAACAGACATATACGGGGGCTGCCTCATCGCCGACGCTGCTGCCGTCACGTGCGTATTGTCACGAGCGTAGCCCCGCGACTATCACTATGGAGCGTATTGACGCGCGGATTGCAGGCGCAGGTTAAATCGAGCAGACGGCGGCGGCGGTGGCGTCGCGACGCCGGCTGTGCGCGGCCGCGCAACCGACCCTTCGCTCGCTCGCTGTCCACCTCCCCAACCCTCAACGTCATCCAGAAGCGTCGGCGCGGAGGGACGGAGAGATAAAGATAGAGAGGGAGGGAGGGGGGGAGCGGGGATGGTGGACTCTGGGCGAGAGGGAAAATTTACAAAGAGGACCGCCGCCGCCGCCACTGGGGGAAACGAGACTACTTGTTGCGCGTCGCGGCGCCCCCGTGACGCCGCGATGCTCTCCCTTCTACCCCCCGTATCACCACGTTTCATCGACGACCAACAACGTCGCTACCGCCGCCGCCGCCCGCCGTCGTCGTCGTCGCCACCCCTTCGACGTCGCGCCACCGACCGCCGCTGCCGTCGCCAACGCGATGCCCCGCGATGCCGACGATAAAAATAGACGCGTCGTCGCGGCGCAACAGATATCACTCGGCTCGAGCTTGAGTAGCTCTCGGTTACTCCGTTTTGATCGCCGTGATACTGGCGATTAGCGCTGGCCGTCATCCGACCGAACGAAGTCGCTGTATCGAAGTTTTATTGAAAGTTCTCGATACTGAATCCATCCTTATTGAGAAAGATAAATATTCCGTTGAGTTTAGCTCGAGCAAAAATTTTATCCGCTCAACTGGAGATGCACCGGTGTGCATTGATTTACATCCTGATGATTGTGAGTGAAAAAGACGGTATGGAAAAAACTTTTCTAAAGGCTCGTCTATGTAGAAGTCGTAGGAAACTGACCAATCACACAGTCAAATATAAGGAGAATACGCTCGACTAGAATCGGTCAATTTCCTACGATTTTATGTAGACGACTCTTAAGAGACGATGTAGGTACATTGATGCGGGCATGCGTGTGTGTGTCTATTTTATAATTGCGCGATTAATTTCGAATTAATATAATTAGACCACACGATCCACGATACGAGTTTTTTTTTTTCTCAAATATCGAAATACGACGCGCTTTCCCCCGTGCAGAAGTAACTCGGAAGTAAAATACATATTTCCCGTATAACATTTCTCGCTCGCGAGGAAATCGATCTCGCGCGGAAAAAGTGACTCCACTTACCTGTATCTGATTACCGATGTGCAGCTGCTGCGCTTGATTGATTTGCAAGGTGGAGGTACCGGGTCCCGAGGGAGGTCTCGGCGGCGTGGAGGTCGTGTTGAAAGGTCCTTGCGAACCGGTCTGGTTAGGTCCACCTCCCTGCGATCCTCTCGGTGGTAACGGATAACCCGGGCTACCGTGATTCGGCATTGAACCCGGGCTACCGTACGGCGAGTATTGTTGTTTGTAACCGCCGCTGGGCCCCAGCATGCCGGGCTTGCCGCCCGTCGCGGTTGGCTGGGGCCTCTTCATGTCGGCCGTCAGGCCTGCTGCAAATTGAGTCTGCGAACTGACGAACATATCGTTGGTCTGCTGACTCTGGAAAGTCGGAGTGCCGTTGTTCTTGTGATAGGAGCCGGTCCCCGCGGCCGTCGCCTGATTTTGTCCACCGGTCGGGCCGGTGCTGCCGGGACTACCAAGGTAATCGGAAGCGCCGCCGAATTGAGGAAATTCGGCGTAAGGGGATCTCGCCGTTGGGCCTCGTGCCGCGGCAGCGGCTGCCGCTGCCGTCGGGTTGAATCCACCGAGACCCAATTGCTGGCTCTTGTGCTGATGCTGCTCGGCCATCTGCTTGAGCGTCTGCGCCGCCGGGCTCATCTCAGATTTGAAGTCTAGTCCAGAGTATGGAAGTCGAGCGGGAGAATATTGCGAGGAGCCGAGAGTGCCTGGGCTCGAGTTAGCCGGCATCGCGTTACCATTGTTACCGCCGACGTTGTTACTGTTGACGCCGTTGTTCGCGCCGTTGGCATGCTGCTGCTGCTGCTGCTGCTGCTGCTGCTGCTGCTGCTGCTGCTGCTGCTGCTGCTGATGAATCGCATCCTTGTCGTCCTCAATCTTAATCTGTCCGTTATTCGTTGGCATACCGTTATTGTTATTACCGCCATTGTTACTGTTATTAGCGACGGCGGCGGCGGCAGCTGCGGCCGCGGCCGCTGCCGCGGCGTTGTTCGCCAATGTATCGACGCTCTTATCCTCGAAGTCGAACTCCTTCATAAACTCCGGATGGAAATCCGATATTTCGGAGATGAGATCCTTGAATGCGTCCGACGTGATGATCTCGTCGCCGGTGTCGTCGCCCATGAATTCGGAGAAGCCGGGGAAACCAGTGCCGTTCGCCGCGGCGTCTTTCTCCAACGCCGCTGCACATTGTTCGAGATCCACGAACTCATTGTCGGGTTCCTGTTTACATTCGACTAGGTTACCAATGTCAACGCAACCGATTCCACCACTCCCACCAGAGCCACCGGCGCCGCCACCAGCTCCGCCCGGGACCCCGGGACCGTTGCCATTTCCAGGCTGCGGTCCTCTCGACGAGCCTGACGCAGACGTGGGGTCCGAGCCGGGTTTTGGCGATGACGACGCGTTTAAAAGGTCGCTCTTCACGGATGCGTTGGTCAGCGCTTTTACCGTTACGTTCGTAGAGATCGCTTGGGCTTGGGAATTGTTCGCGGCCGAAGTTGTGAATTCCAATTGCTGTACGATCTGAACTTGAAACTTGGTAAGACCTTCGTTCCCGTCACCGCCGCCGCCACCGCCACCGGGCGTTGGACCCGTCGAGTTCGCGCCGTTCCCCGGTTGGTGCTGGCCGTGGCCGTGATGGGGCCCGCCGCCGCCGCCGCCGCCGCCACCGCCGCCACCACCACCACCACCACCAACAGGACCCTGTTGATGCTGATGAGGCCCCTGCGTGCATTGCAGCTTGACCGGCGGCTCGCCGAAGCCGCCATCGCCACTAGCACCACCGGCTGGCTCCAACTCCTCGGTCGTCCTCTTGAGGAATTTCGGCTGCTGAAACGAGAAGAGAGAGAGAGAGATCCGTTAATCGTCGGGTGGGACTTTCGAGAAACAGGAAGGAAACGAGAAACAATGACATAAGATTAGAAATTTGCCAGCGAGAAAAATACTCGTTATACTAATTGCTGTGTCATTACCTCTCAATCCTTACTTATAATTCCTTATTTTATTATTTTATTTATTACACAGCTTCAGCCACCTATATAATAGTATATCGATCGCCTTTCGAGCCAGGCTCGAGTCGAAGTAGATTTTCAAAGACTACACCGCTTTTTTCGCTGCTCCGCTGCTCGATGACCGAACCGAGCGAGAGGTATCTGACTCGTCTGGTTTGGTGTCGCTGAGCTCGATTCCACAGCTTTTTCTGCGATTAACCCGGGCAGTTTCTCACCGTACCTGTCAATATTCGCGACGCTTTTTCAGCCGCTGTCTTTATACGGCCGCCCGCGAAGCGCCGTTTTGTTTCGCGAAGTGCCCGGACCCTGATACCGCGGCTCGTAAATCTCGACGAGCGAATCGTCTACCGGATCAAAAAGACCGATGACACACGTCTCTCAATGACCGCGATACGATGAATCCAAA